TGTGACCTATAACATTTCGTTTGGTGCGTGTAATCTTGTACAACCCAAACATGTCGATGATAGGTTTTCGGTACCTAGGATCAATTTGGCGCGAATTAACTGAAAAAGGTTGTTTGCAGTGCGTGCTAAACGATCTAAGAAAAGTTCTATCCAGTTAGCCTTAAGTTACTGTTGCGTTTGAATGTTATTACAATGTATTTTCACACTTATATATACATTATTTGGAAGTATTTAAACAAACACAACACACGTACACACACACACCCATACACACACATATCTGTTACAGTATAATATGTACATATATACAATAATTTTATTGATATATTCAAGTACCTAAGTATCTTGCGTATATTGTTTCGTGGTCTCACTTAAGGTCCTAACCATAGATATGTCCTAACTGAAAACCAGTGTTGGGAACGCATTGCGATTCCAGCAAATAATGAGTTTGTGACCCTTTTGTTACAGCGACTAGCACCACACAAAGTATCTATATAACTAGTGATCTTTTTATTATTGGTGTGAATACCTTTTCTTTTTTGCTTTCTTTGTGTTTTCGTAATTATTTATTTATGTTTTGCGTTGAATGTTTTGACTGTGTTTTGTTTTTGTTCTGTTTTGTTTCGTTTTCTTTTTTCTTTTGTGGTGTTCTTTCTTTGATATGTAAGCAGTGTGTAATTTATTGTAAAATGAATTATAAAAATAAACATAATATTATCATCGTGCCACTTCTATGTTGATGTTTTTCTTTACTGTAATTTCTTGAAGAAAATGTTCACTTGTTTTTCTAATTCTAAAAAACGAAGTTATAGTTTTGAGTAGAGATGAAAAGGATATCCAGTAACTATCCGGCCTAACCGGCCAAATGACTATTCGGTTCATCTCCATTTTTGAGGCCAGGTAATTGGTGTAATTGTCTGGTATTATTATTTGTTCGTACGTATATGTCTGTGATTCTTATTTAGACGGTAGGTAGTGCTTTTTCTAAGAATGATTAAGTAATAGACAAAATTAACAGAAAGATATTGATTTATTAAAATCGATTTTTAAATTCAATTAGGCAGGAGCTGAGTCAATTAAAATTCAACGTTGTGAAATTGAATTCCCAAGGAAGCGGTATCGGCGTTTAGGTACAGCCAATTTTGGGAACAATTTGTATATTTATGGGAAAGTTTACGTGGTTATCGCAGAAGGCTATTAAATCGCACTTTGTTTGCGACATAATGTCGTAAGGTGCTTGAAAAGAGCACTCATGTGCTGAACATTTATGAAATGAGATATTTACGGGTAACATATCTCGTAATAAATGTTGCCATAAAGGTATGAAAGTTACTGAATGATAAAAACTGCTTGTGGGATCCTTATACAGCCGCCGACTTGTCAACTGCCTTGAGGTACGGCTGGCAACACACATGCGATTCTAAGGGTACTTCCTTAGTAATCAAAAAAATGTTAAAGGTCACGTTTACCATTTTTTCGTCAAGTAGATAGTCGTTTCCTAGTTTAAGAAGTAATAAAACTTAAATAAGCATAAGCTTATGCAGTGAGGATAATATATTTGATGTTTATATAAAAAGATATACGGAGTGAATGACAGAAAAAAGGAATTTATAATAACTGCCTCTGTGGCGGAACGGTAAAAATGCTGTTCTGCTACTAGTGTTGTAAAAAACTCGAGTCTGGGAGTCTTCATTTTAGCACTCGACTCCAATTCACAAGACTCGAGTCATAAAGGAAGAGACGACTTTGAGCTCGAGTCTGTTTATGTAGTCGAGCTCGAGTCTGGTAGTGTTAAACTGTAGTACAATTACAGTAGTATAATTAAGTATTAATTATGTACTTTTTTAAAGTCACCGTATTGGGTTTTTGTTCTTTATTTAATTCGTGGGCAATAGTAGCTGTTCAGTAAAATTGAAACCTGCTTGTCGTACTCAAGACTTCGAGTCGAGTTTTCGAACTCAAGTTTTGTTCACAACACGAGTTAGGTTTACGACTCGAGTTCTTTTTGGACTCGAGTCCATGCTCCGATGGCTCGTGCTCGACTTAACTCGGACTCGTGAGTGTTTTAGATCAACGAGCCGTGGAAAATTGAGTCGAGTTTATAAATGAAGACTCCCGGACTCGAGTTTTTTACAACACTATCTGCCACTCAGAATGTCTGGGTTCGATTCCCAGGCCGGGGAATATTTGTATGGCCTATATTTATTTCCCTCGTGAGTTTGAGTGTAATTTATTGTCTGTGTGTATCTCCATGGCACTCGTGATACAGAGTTTCCCTAATGCGGGCCAGTGCGGGACTATGAGTGGGTGCGTTTGTATTGTATTAATTGTGTTAAAATCTAAAATAAACAAACTTATGAAAATGATGAAGTCCTTGTATGGAAATGGTGAACGTTTATGGAGACAATTTGTTCTTTGTTCTTGAAACTTTGTTCAAGTATGCGTGCTTAATTTTCTCGACGCATCAGGATGTCACTCCTCAGAGTGATTAACTGGCCAGTGTTGTATAGATTTTAAGGCTTTCGTGGTTATTCACTAAATGATTGTCACAGTATTATATACCATACTTCGATGTACCCAATGGATCCCAAGCTCGTCCATGGTTTAACGCTGACTGTAGTCGTGCTGAAGCACAAAAACAGTCTGCGTACCAAGCTTGGGCAGATGCTCGACTACGCAAAGCTCCGAATACTCGGAATCTGATGAAAGCCTTTAATAAAGCCGCCAAGAAGAGCAAAAGTGTGTTACGCAGGGCCAAGTTCGACCATGTGCGCCGCATAGGGGCCAAGCTTACGTCTTTTCCAGCAGGCAGCAAGTCCTTTTGGTCCCTGGCCAAAGCAGTCGAAAAAAACTTTAGTAGCCACTCATTACCATCTCTGCTGAGGTCAGACGGCTCGCTGGCCCATACTGCGGAAGAGAAGGCGAATCTCTTCGCCTCACTCTTTGCAGAGAGCTCGCGTCTAGATGCCGCAGGATACCTACCACCTTCTTTACCTCAGACGATGCTATACGGCGCCAGTTCGCATACGCCAAAAAGAGGTACTCAGAACTCTGCGAAGTCTAGACGTGCATAAAGCTAGCGGGCCAGATGGAATTCCAGCAATAGTCCTGCGTAACGGTGCGCCTGAGTTGTCTCTTATTCTCACACGCCTGTATCGCCTCTCGCTTGAGACTGGTGTAGTTCCCAGGTCTTGGAAGCTTGCAAATGTGCAACCAGTGTCTAAAAAAGGAAGCAGAGCTGATCCTGTCAACTATAGATCTATCTCAGTCACTTCCATACTCTGCAAGACTATGGAACATGTACAAACAACCGTCTTCTGTCGTACCTTGAAGACAACGATCTCTCAGTGATCGCCAATACGGATTCCGAAGAGGGCAATCTACTGGGGATTCTTATGTATACCTCTCACTTATGGAGCGAGGCTATAGAAGAGCATGGAGAAGTCATTGCATTTCTAAGGCCTTTGACAGGGTGGGCACGCAAGCCTTTTAAGCAAGCTTCCCTCTTATGGGCTTCCCACTGACCTTTACATTGGATTTCGGATTTCTTGAGTGAACGTTCGATTCGAGTGGTCTTAGAAGGCTATTCTTCCGAACACAGGGCGATAGATGCCGTTTCTCAGGGTTCTGTACTGTCCGCAACTCTCTTTCTGCTGCATATAAACGATATGTTGATGAAACGATATGTATGCAGGTACCTTTGGGTATGCTGATGACAGCACAGTTGTGGAAAGGTACTTGTCCAATGCAAGGGTCAGTGGAGAAGAAATCTAGTCTTGTCGAGAGTCCATGGTTAGTCGTTTGAATTTGACACTTAAGACAATCTCCGATTGGGGCAATGCCAATCTTGTCAAATTTAATGCTACCTAAACACAGGCGTGTCTTTTCTCCACTAAACGTGATATATCCATACCGACAGCCGACCGTCTTCAACTACTTGGAATGGACCTGTCGTCCAATCTGAACTTCGGCAGTTACATTGAATCCATGGCCAAAAATGCAGGCAAGAAACTTGGCATCCTTTCCAAGGTGAGGCGATACTTCATACCGGGACAGTTGCTTCAGCTGTACCAAGCACAAGTCCGGTCGTGTATGGAGTACTGCTGCCACTTATGGGATGGCTTTGCTAAATACCAACTGGCCACCTTGGATTCAATAGACAAGCGTGCTGAGAGGCTTACAGGTGACTCGGAACTAGTAGAGGCGAAGCTACAGAGCCTTGAACACCGCCGTAGAGTTGCCAGCTTATCGGTATTCTACGGATATATCACGGAGAGGGTGCGATTAAATTGCATAATTTGATTCCGCCCTCCCTTTTCCATCATCGGGAGACTAGACGTGGGCGGGGGTTCCACCCCTATGTTGTGGATATTCCCCGGATTCGCACGAAGCGTTTCGCTTCCACATTTGTATGGCGAGCGTCTAGGGAGTGGAATTCCCTACCTACAGACTTGTTCCCTGAACGCTATAACTTGGACAATCATTTGGCCAGTGTTACATTCTGTTCTGCTACATCACAAACTTAGTTTGTTGTATATGCAGTTAAAAAAGACATAGGTGTGTATAGTCCATACTCAAGTTTATTTTTATTCAATAAGCTGCAAAATTGTGTTTTATAAACAAAATAATACTATAATTCACAATTAAGAAAAGTCCGTTTACTCCGAATTTTATAAAAAATTAAATTTTTGGATGTAAGCCCTGTATACCTATCATTTTTTAACTGACGTGCTAATCCACAAAAAGCCCGGTGTCATCCCGTTGTAAATCGAGCTGTAGATTTAGCAATGGAAGGTAAGCTTGTAATGATGCTAGAAAGATTTCAGGCAAAAAATTCTTTTTATATATACGGGATGTAAATGGCATTAACGACAAATCCAACACGTTCTATAGACATCACTGTTTTCTTTAAGATCACTACTATTAGGTGCTCCAATCGCTTTTTTCCACGTATGTTTTTGCTCGGCATTTTCTTAGTACAAACTGTTCCTTGTTCTTACCTCAACTCCGGTTTTTTAGGCACTTCCTTCTTGCCTTCCTCTTTCTTCTTCTCCCCATCTTCCTTGGGCGTGGGCGAAGCCGGTGGGGAATGATCCTTGGTATCCCCATCGATGTTGGATGGCGCATACCCCGAATCGTTGTTCGTATTTGGGTCCATCATGGGAATAGGTGAAGCTAAGTTGGCCATTATTCTGTATAAAAAGAGGGGTTCAAGATTATCATGATGTTTTTTAACATTGTAATTCTTCGACTATTTTGATCCAAGACATTGTCACATATAAAGCTTGACACTAACAGGCCAGTTTCTTCAACGACGGCTGCGAGCATGAACCTAGCTGACTTCATGTTCATTTCTTCGGCAAATGCTCCTAGCTCGGATCTGTCAAAACACATTATGATAATTATTAATACAAAAATCGAACACTAAGAAAAAAATCCTTCGATCTCTCTTATAGATCTCTCATAGATGGCGTTACGGTTAAAAAAGTCGTTGAAAAACCAAATACAAAGATACGACAAGCTGCACATAGAAAAATTCGTGAGGTCCGCTGGTTCGTTCCGTGGCTTAGTTGGCGTAGCGTCTGGCACGGTTTGCTATAAGACGTCGGTTCGAATCCGGCCGGATCGAAGGAATTTTTTCTAAGTGTTCGTATCTTTGTATTAATAATTATAATAAACTAGTCGAGTAATTTCACATAAAAAATAATAGAACGTTATTTAAAAAAAAATTTAAAATAACGTTATTAGTTGAGTTATGACGCGAATAGTCGGCTACTATTCGGTATTCGGCCTATTTGCTCACTTTTTTTATTATTCGGTATTTGGCCGAACACTATGACTATTCGGCCGAATACCGAATATTAAATAATGAAAAAAGCACATATCATTCAAAATGTATTCATATATTTTAATGACAAATTATGGCTTTAATACTTAAAATCAATCAGTGGCAAGTTGAGATGAATGAAAACAAATTTTTCAGCATTGGTTGGTAACAAACGATTGCGTTTTTCCTCATAAACAATTCCTGATTCTGAAAAAAGCCTCTCACTATAAACACTACTGCCAGGAGACGATAGATAAATCTTAGCAAATTTTGACAGGCTTCTTTCAGGAATTCTGCTTTGCGTTTGCTGACCACCACTTGTAAGGATTTGCTGTCCAATCTAGGCGAACAGTTTTCAAATAAAAATCAATTTCATGCGCAATAGAACTTTTCTCCACATCAATGATAACATTTTGCATATTATCTATAGCAACTTCGTCAAAACAGGTCCAGAAACTGACATGTATTGATTCTCTCGATTTATCATTTTTCAACAAAGACACCCCACTCCCGTTACCCCTGCACGCAGCGCAATAAGACAGGTCGTAACAGGTCGCGCGTGAAATGCTCAGATCTTAAGCCAAACATTCGGGAGCCGAAAATTCGGCGCTATCCGTGGCAACTTTAGTTATTAGTCACTCAGAGAGATAAGTTACTGAATATCAATGTATAGACGGCATATTTGCGCTGTTTCGGTTATATAGGGGCCTAATTTCGCTAATTTTCTTGAAATTAGTCATTTGAAGAGATTACATTGCAATTGTGATATTATTTGCTATTCTGTTAATGTCTAATTGCAATGGTATTGGAGTCTCAGTGGAACTGCAGTGATGGTATGTTCATCCATTCAATTATTAACGACCGACGTGCTATCGGCACGCCATTGAAGTGCTAAATATCAAAACATCAAGCCAGTTGTGGAGTAGCTCGATGGCTACCCACTGACAAGCCACTACGCTTAACTTTTAGCAAAATACCAAACGTTCAATATCCTGCCATAGATGATTTAAAATTAGCAGACTTCTCTCCAGGTGAACATACAAATAAATTCGCAGCTAGGCAGACAATTTCCTTAATCTTGAAGATAACTTTGACGGCAGGTAGTCGAGAGTCGAGAATGAAAACTATCAGAAGCCTTTCTGCCTAGACCGTTTTAAAGTAAAGAAAAAATTCATGGGAATTTAGCAGCTGTTTCCCGAACAGAACCAGACAGGTTGAGACAAATATACAGTAGTTCAAATACTTCACGTAAATTCCTCCAATCTCTAGCATCTCTCGGCACAATCCATCAAATGGGTAGCGCGTGCCAAAATTTCCAACGTTGATTTAATTTCACGAAGTCTCATTGTTTGTGTACAAACTACATCAGTTATAGGGTCTTGGTGATAAACATTTCCCACCTACCCTTTATTGCAAGGCCAATGACTCCGCGTAATGGATTATCCGTCAACGGTTTTAGCTCCTACAATGGAGATAATGGAAGTTAAAACTACCTGAATATGATTTGTGTTTCAAATTTAATGGAAGTTTGGTCACTATACACAGGTCCATGATGGTTAGGATGGTTTTGTTAATGAATGTACAGCGTCATTGAATAATAAACTCAGCTGTAGTATCACGAACGATAGGTTTATATAAAAGTCAATATGTAGAATAATGATGCCTGGTTTATTATAATGCTACGGGGTGACATAAATCGAATTTTAATACGTACTTATGGTGAAATGGATTTAATTCAATTGAAAATATTTAAAGTGTAAGTTTCAGTTCAAATGAGCAGTCGTTTTTCAATTGCGAAAGTCAGCAATAACTGAGCCAAGCGGGCAATCTCTTCAACTTTTGTTGAGTCTTTGTCAGCTGAAGAAATTGCTTTCCTAGAGGCGGTAAAACTTTTGCATTGGCTTTTTAGGACAAAATCTTCTTAATCGAGCTTTCGAAAGCAGAAGTACCTTTACTTCCCCGACTCCTTTCAATTCTCATTTTAAGTAGGTTTGCTGGAGATGAGTTTTTCGGTTAAACTTCCGACATTATGTAGCATGTTAGGTGTACTTTCATACGAAATTTTGAGGTAACTTCAAGTTATTAACGTCACCAGTAATCTGGGCGTAACTTAAGACACAAAGTATTTTTATGAGTTTGAATACGTTTTGTCAATGTGAATTTGCCATATAAGAAAATGTAAACTGATGGTAGAGGCACTGATTTTGAATTCTGCACGTGGCTTGATAAAAAACTTTAGTCATTCACACTTGAGTGAATAGGACTCATAAATAATGTATTATTGGTAAGCGAAAATGAGTTTTACGAGCGAGAAATAATGGTATATAAATGGTATCTTTCATACGAATGTATCACCGGTACCAAAATCGAGTATTATGTGTTTAGAGGTTGTAGCAGCCACAGACGTGCCAGAATGTCTAACCCTCTTCCGACATTCAGGCACGTTTTAGTGCTAGCAAAAGTAACAACCATGCCTTGTGAATCAGCATAAGACACACGTACCAAATTAGTATAAATAAGTAGCTCAAGCAAAATATACACATTAATATAATACAGTCATTTACCAACCCACGACTCGTCTATCATTCTCCACAAAACTACCATGGCGAAGTGGTGACCACCAACACCTTTCACCTGCGCCATGGCAAAGAGGTTAAGTTTTACAATTTGTAAAATAGTTTAGAAACATTTATTGCTCCGAGATATTTTTGGATATTTTGAGCTCCGAGGGTCGCGATGCTACTCACTTGTCGTCTTCTTCGTCTTCGTTGCTACCCGAGGCAGTATTGGTGGGTTGATCCATCGAGAGATGCTGCGTCTGCGCAACGTTCTCTATAACCACTGCCGCAGTGCCGCTCGTCACCGCTGAACTAAGTGCTGAAGAACTCTTCTTAGCTGAGCGCTGTTTTTTCGCTCTTTTTCTGATTGCCTACGAAAAATACCAAAGGTTATGTTTTTTATAACACCTAGCATGTGTCACAGGACAGATGTGAAAATACTTTGAGTATTTGACGACTGCTCTAGAAAGTAGGCGACCGGAGTCAATACGGATGCTATAGAACCGGTGATTGCATTACAATCTACTGAAGAGCGGACAAATTAGAGAGATGTGGATCGCGGTGAGGGCGGGGCGGCGTCGCTGTGTAAGGCTAAAAAAAAATCTCTTTCTATATGTATTTATATAACCAAGGCTCCTATTAAAACAGGGTCCTCGCTTCGTATCAAGTGCGTATCGATTGAGAAATCACAAAGGTTTCGAGACCTGCATCGCAATACATTATAATTATATCAGCTCCAGTGAGAAAGACCTGTTGTACTGATGGATTGGAATTTAATGATGATCTTGAGCTGTAGCTTAATTACTGAGTAGTGTTTATTATTTTTACAATTTTCAAAGCATGGGCAATAATAATAATAGAAAAGGTTAATAATAATAATAAGTAATTTTTTTCTAAGAAATATTTATTAAAGCCAGAACAGTTCACTCCAGTTTCAGTGAGCATAATTTTGTGATGCCTAAACTAAGCATAAAACTCTCGGACTAATGTTCACTACCTAATTTTCGTGGCAATTTTTATTATTAATTGGAAGAATGGCATGTGTGGAATTACGTCAAATATGTTTATTGCTCCATTAGATACAGAAAAACCACATCCTCAAACATAACCCACATTCTCTCCAACTGGAGAGGTATATTTTTCTGTATCTAAACTAAATGTTTGACGTAATTCCACTTATGCCATTCTTCCACGAGGGCGGCATTTTAAATATTCATCTTGTTAAATTATATAGCAGTTTTAACTTCACCACAATTTTTATGTCGTTTTCATTGTATCATTGTAATAATTTTTTCGCAAAGGGAGACCTGGTGTCTCACAACACACGGTTTTTCCTAGTTTCTACATTCAAATGGTCAGGTACATTTCTTTGATATGTTGTGAAATTTAAGTGTCGAAGTGGAAGAAATAAACAAATTATTATTATTATTATAAATTATTATTCAAGTATATTATCGTGTAATTATTAAATAATATTGCACGGTAAAAAAATAGAATACTTAAATAACAAAAATAGCCACGGCAATTAGGTTGAACACTATCCGAGAATGACCAAAAACCAGTGGGACTTGTCAACGTATATGTATATCCCAGACAGAGTGACGGGCGCGGTGTCAGTGGTCTTCAAATCTTTGCGATTTAAAGCTCTGAGTGGCACTGCAACAGCGTCTATGTATACAATCTTCTCGTTTACCACGACGACTTGTTCGTCCCGTCACGTGGTGTCATAAAAAATACTCCCTAAATAACGATCTTGTGCTTTAGTATGAATAAAAATGTTGTATATTCTGTAAAAGTTTCGCAATAAACATAATATATGATAATATTTCAGGGATCGAGATATTCATAAATATGACATCAGTAAAAGCTGCTCGTGATATATTTTGGTTACATTCGTATATTTGGATGGCAAGGGATAAAGGTTAAGGTTCAGACCCTAGATTTAGATACGTGAGCAAATTATGTAATATTACGTCAAGATTGTTCTTTCATAACGGATTTAAAAAATAAACAATATTCAGTGTCAAATTTTTTATAAATGTACTTTTTAGTAGATACACGCTTGGAAAAGAGCTCATCTGATGGTGAGCAATGATATGACCGCGTTGGTTTCAAAATTCCTATTCAAAATAACTTTGAATGGCTCTAAACAGTACTTTTGTCGGAAAATACATGCCGGTAGCGTATTATATTCTATAGAGTCTAAATATATGAGTCGGAGCCTACAGTCTATAATGAAATCAAATACACGTGTGGCGCACTATACGTTTCCGGACTGAATAAAAAATAATACTATAAACGGTCAGAAATGAATTTATTGTTTCTCAAAATATTCTCCGTTAGCGTTAATGCACTTTTTCGTACGAATGAACCAATTTTAAAAAATTTATGCCACTCCTCCGTGGCAATCTCTGAAACATATTTTTCATACTCTTAGACAGCCTCTTCTAGTGATGAAAATCGTTGACCGCGTAACTGGTTCTTAATTTTTGGAAATAAATTAAATTCACAAGGTGCCAGGTCGGGACTGTACGCGGGATGGCTCATAAGGTCAACGTTGTTCACCTTCAAAAATTTATTTGTCTGTCAGGCCGTGTGAGAACTCCCATTATTGTGGTGCAAGATGATACGGCGTTTATGGTTATTTCTACGGAGTTTGTCAATAACTTCCGGCAAACAAATGGTCGTGTATCAATCACTGTTCATGGTACAACGATTCTGCAAAGCAACAGTATCCACGTGTCCAGTTTTATTAAAAAAAGAAGCAATCGTCCGGTTAGAGGCACTTTGCATGCGCGACACTTTGGTTGGTTTCGGCTCATCTCGAAAAACCCTTACGCTCGATAGCTGCTTTGTTTTGGGATCATAACTATAAATCCATGTTTCGTCACCTGTTACTATGTTCCACACCAAATTTGACGCCCCTTCGTTGAATCTGCATCTGTAAGCATGGCATTGCACCAAGTCACGCGATCCGTTTTTTGAGCCTCAGTCAAATTGTGTGGGATCCACTGAGAGCACAGCTTTCTCACACCCAAATGTTTGTGTAGTATTGATTATATTTGACTTATGCCTATGCCTAAAGATGCTCGAATCTCATGGTATGTCACATGCCTGTCTGTTTTGGTCATATGGCGCACGTCATCGATGTTTTTGTTGTTCACAGCAGTGGACGGGCGACCATCACGTAATGAATCTCAGTGACGATTCACTGAGATTCATACGACCGCGTTTGAATTCTGCAAACCAGCTATAAATAGTCGTTTTGCGTGGTGCTTCATCGCCAAAAGCAGCTTCAAGTCGAGCGAAGCTCCGCTGAGCTGTTAAATTACACTTAAAGTCGTAGAAAATCATACTACGAAAATTTTCACGAGTTAAATCCATGGTGATGTAGACAACCAATTTCTAAAATGACGCCACAATGTAAAAGCAAGTGACAGACAGATGTAACAAACTGTATTCTACAGCCAAAGAGTTCCATTTTCAAATGTTGTAATTACTTTTTAAATATTGTTTATGTATGTGGTCAGTTCCGGAAACTTACATATAGTGCGCCCTATGTATTATAGAATAATTTTTTTCAAACCATATGATCCATAATACTATTTTTAACCGACTTTAGAAAAAGGAGGAGATTCTCAATTCGATTGTATTGTTTTGTATGCATGTTACGCGATTGTTCCGGCATTTGTGAACCGATTTTGATGATTCTTTTTTGTTGGAAAGAGGATACTTCATTATTGGTATTCCACCTCTAAAGGTGGCAAACTAGGGGATGAATTCGATTTCGTGCACTTTCCTGTAACCGATTGTTAACTTTTTAGTTTCAGTTTATACGTACATATAAGCAAAGTTTGAAGTCGGTTAATTTTTGTTATAGCTAAATATTACTTTTTGATATGCTGAGGTTAGTATAATAATAACAGTAGATATTATTGTATATATAAGTTATAATAATATAAGTTATTTATTTAGATAGCTAGTATTCATTGGTTAGTATATAATACAATACAAATATACCGTCGGCATCTCTGCCTGCCCCAGTAGGAGACAGGCGTGATGATATGTATGTATATAAGTAGACCTAAGAGCGATGCCACACGGGCGCAGCCGGTGCGTTGCGTCGTCGCAACTACTGGCCTGATTTCAACGCACCAAGCGCGTTGCATAACAACTAATTTCGACTTCTGACCCCTAGTCCGAAGCTCACGTGCTTCATCGTCGCGCGGCATTTCAACGCACATGTGGCATGTAGCTATTTGTAATTTATAAGTAGTACAACGCAGCGTCATTGATCAGATGTTGCAACGCCGACACAACGAATCGTGTGGCGTCGTTCTAATACTAGACAGAGAAAATGCTGCGGCTAGACCATTAACCTACCTACATGTTGTTACCAAAATGATTGCACCAAATACGCACATGTTGTCACCAAAATTATTCCACCAAATGGTTTTGGTAAAGGCAGTCCAACCTGCTGGCAACAACAGGCTCATTTAGACAGTCACTCTATCGCGCGTGATCAAGTGCGTAAAGGACAGCGCGCGGGAAAGCCTGAGCGCGCAATTGTGGGCGATTACAGTTGGAATTTTTTTAAGCTAACGTTCTTTCGCGCGCGATTGGTCGTACTCGTACGACTATGAATGACATGAAAAACATCCGCGAAAGCATAAGTATTATCCAGGTTAATTTGTAAAATACTAACAATCTCATAGAACAATATTACTAATGTCGTAAAAAACAATTACGTTACCTTGCCTATTTTTGCCGCCAAGCAATAATGTCAGCATTACTGTGTTCCGGTTTTGAACGGTAAGGGTGCTGGTGAAATTACAGGCACATAGGACTTGTCAACTTGTGTTTCAGGGTGACGGGCGTAGTAGTAGTGCCCCTCAGATCTTTGCAATTTAAAGCTCTGAGTGGCACTGCAACTGTTATGGACAGGCGTGTAGCTTACCACCAGACGCATGCCTTATTCGTCCCGTCACTTGATGTTATATAAAAAAAAAAACTTTTGTTAATTATTACATTTTAGAAAACATAGTAAATTTACCAAAAACAATCTTTTTATTTTACTGTCAGACACTTTTTACATTTGCTCGCTCCTGTGTTTTGCATCTGATTGGTGTTTACGCTTTCTTTTGTTACTGCACAGAGTTATTACCGTTTATAGCGATCTATTAAAATATTTTTGCTTTTGTACGAAAGTAAAATCTGACGATTTACTAAAACTCATGTAACAGTTGTTGTTTATGATTTAAGTAATATGTATAATAAGCCTGTATGTACAGGATTTTTTCGTCCCAAAAACAGGTATTACGAAAAAATTAGTCACCAGTAAACCATGGATGGCACGTTTCTCAATTACCTACTTATCTATAACGACACACGAACTCTTTGAATAATGTTATTCTGAAACTCCATATTTATGACAATAATTCTTTTCTAACTGATGTTGTAGTCAAAGGGTGACCAGAATTCCATATTCCTTAATAAGGGTTAAAAGCTATTACCCCAAGCTGCGCGCAGGTAAACTCATTTACATATTCATTGTTTATGTGGGGTACACCTTTGCGGATTTGCTCGTATTTTCTGTTAGGAATATTTTTGTAAACATACAAACGTGCATTTTGTCTATAATATAATATTATTAATACAAAGATCGAACACAAATTAAATTCTTTCGATCCAGCTGGAATCAACCA